TCACGCCCTTCAAAATTTTTTGATATTTGAAATACAATTACGCAACATAATTACAAATTACATTACAGTTACTCAAACATAATTATAAATATTTTACATTGAAATCGCAACGATCATTCTGTATTAAGTTCGTAGTAAAATACTCGATGAAGAAAGAACACATTAATTAATTAAAAAAAGAAAAAGTTGAAAAAAACTTGGTTATTATTCAAACTTATAACGTAATTTTAAAAGTTTGATTATAGCAACTTAGGTTCACACAAAAAAGTAAACTAAACGAAATTCGAAGGCATGGTGAATCTGAAACAAAGGTAAATGTTTGATGACAAAAAGCAAATGTTTGAGACAACATCAGTTAACACTTTCGTAGTCCACAAAACATTTTGAGCAATAACTTTGAAGAAAAACTTTAAAAATGTATATTGTAGCTGGCCAGCAGACACCTTGTCCTTGAACAGTATTGAAAAAATCTTTTTGATTCATTGAATAACTCTGGATACTAATGTTAATAATGTTTAATTTAAAAGAACAAGTGAATAAAACATGTTTTTCGACTATAAATTTGATTTTAATCATTTTGATTCAATGATTTCATAAAACTGAAAAAAATGAAAATTTCTTGTTCAACTTGAAATTGATTGTTAAATTTTGGTTTAGAGCACTTTTTTCTTTATATCGATTTTTAGAGCTTTTTAATTTTCACCTTCTCTCAACTAATCAAAAACTTTCAAAAGCAATTAGTTACTATTAAACCTAATTAATTTCTGACTATTTTGAAGAAAATTAGCCAAAAGCCTGAAAAGGATCATATGTCTATTAAAGACATATTTTTATGTCTTTTTTAAACATGCTCTGTAAGGTTTGTTTTTAAAAGTACATCCTCTTTGTTTTTCTTCTGCCATTCTTTTACCAAAGCTGCACAAGAGTTTGAATTGTCTTGTATTCGAACTCAGTTCAATTTTAAATTCAAGTTCATTTTCTGAAAAAAATTATTTTCACCTTTTAGATAATATCTTTACTACGTGATTGTAACTAAGTTTGTTAGCTTCATAAATTGCGAGGAGTCAACTAATCTTTAGTTGGATTCATTTATAAAACAATAGTTTTCACAAGGTGCACTTATCATGGACGTAAGGTACATTTATCATAAAACAATTATTCTTATGAAACTTTTTTTGAAATCTTTGACATAAAAAATTTATATAAATGGATTTGCTTTTTTTTTATTGATTTTCGTAGTTTGATACTTTTTTTTTTAATTTTATAATTAACTTTTTTTTTATAAATATGAGGTTGTTTGTAAGGTTGTATGGTGCTTATTTATCCTTGTTTTATGTCTAGATGTTCTCCGTATTAAATGCCTTTACATACAGTTTAAGAAAATTTGTAGACGAGTTTAGATTTGAACAGCTTAGGAAGTGAAACTTTTATACAAAAGCAGCACTTTTGTAATTTATTTGTTGTGAATTTAAATTTCAAAAAATAATGTAATTTTAAAAAGAATTTCAAATTTAGAATCGAGTTTTTTTGAGCTTACTGCAACAGATCTAAAAATACTTGCTTATAAATTGGTATAATATAGATATATATAAAAATATTGGTATAAATGAAATATAGATATAAATAAAAAGGGAAGAAGTGAACAAATTTAGATATAAATAAGGAAGAAGGCAACAAATATAGATATAAATAAAAATATTGATATAAATAAAATATAGATATAAATAAAAAGGGAAGAAGTGAACAAATTTAGATATAAATAAGGAAGAAGGCAACAAATATAGATATAAATAAAAATATTGATATAAATAAAATATAGATATAAATAAAAAGGGAAGAAGTGAACAAATATATATATATATATATATATATATATATATATATATATATATATATATATATATATATATATATATATATATATATATATATATATATATATATATATATATATATATATATATATATATATATATAAAAAGAAGAAGGCAACAAATATAGATATAAATAGAAAAGGGAAGAAGTGGCGCTAAAGTTTTATGAAGGATCATCCTTGTTTATCTTTTTGTATGCCTGAGGCAACATCAATGGCTTGGGCTGGGCTTTTATTAAAGATATAGCTTATTGATATTTTTGATAAATACAAAAATAATAAATGAGCACAAATTTACTTTCAACCAGATTTATAGCGCTAAAGAAATAGAATTATCCATTGTTTATAAATCATAGCTCAGAAGTAAAATAATAGCTTAGAAAGTTAAACCATAGCTCATAAGTAAAGTAATAGCTTAGAAAGTTAAACCATAGCTCATAAGTAAAGTAATAGTTTAGAAAGTTAAACCATAGCTCATAAGTAAAGTAATAGTTTAGAAAGTTAACTACTCTTGCCATTCTTGTAATGTTAGAAAGGCTATCATTTCAAGACATTAGGAAGTTATAAAAGAGATAACGCTTCATGCATCCATATATATACTAACAAAATATTTTTAAGTTTTATAAAAATTTTTATTTAGCGGGGCATATCGGGACAGTGGGACATAATGGGACATAGTATGCCTGAAGCTTTATATCTCAGATAAAAATTATTTTCTTTCATTAAAATTTTTTTGATAAAACATTATAAATTATTGTGCTTCATTATGGTAAAAATTAATTTTAGAAGTACCAAATGCATTAAAGTACCAAATTGCACCAGTAAGTTTGCAAAAAACAAAATTTTTGCGTATTTTATGTAACGATACAAAAATTCTCAATGCAGCATTTTTCTTTTCATAATTTTGTAACAATTTGGAAGTTACAACATCTGAAATTGTTGAAAAAAGTAATTTGAATCTAGGTAAACAATAAACATGCGTAATAAAGTGCCGAAATATTGATTTAATGGTCAACATAATTTTCTTTCTATTAATAAAGTTCTTGATGAAATTAAATATTGGAAAGATGATAGCTACTGTTTTAAGAATCCTAAATATTAAACTTATTAAACTAACTGGTCAAAATTGAATATGTTGACTAAAGTTCCTTTTTATGCAACGCTATAAAAATTACACCCTTTGCAACACCATAACAACGACTCCTCAATATTGAAATAAACTACATTACAAGCTTGAAAACTTGCATTATCAAGTTGGAAAAAGTGTTATCGAGGCTGAAAAAGCAAGACAATAGTTATTTAAAATCCATATTTTAAAATAACATTTTTTGCATCATGAAATTAGAGTTGTTTAATTTGCAGTCTTTACAGTTGCCAAGTGATTTTCATTTGTTTATTGCTATTGTTGTTATATATTCCAAATAAAAATAAATTAAGGGTGTTTAATATTAGAGGAAATTAACTCATTCTTAGATCAACACTTTCAAAACATAAAATAAAGTTCTGCGGTAACGAAACACACCGCAGACCTTCCGAAAAATTTTTTTTTTATTAATAATGCTACGAAAATGGACAATCAAAGTAAAACATTAATGAATAAAAAGTGAACTAAAAGGAGAACTGAGAGAAGAAAGAAACTGCGAACCATCAGGAAAGAATTTGTGGAGGAAGAAAAACAAAGTGAAACTATACCAGCCTATGCAGCTGAGGCTTATTAATTATTTTATTGCATTTTTTCTTTGTTTTTTAGTTTTAACCTATTTTCTTTTTTTAGTTATTTTCAGTTTTATATTTTAAATATCATTCGATCTGATAGTCTAAATGATTTGAAACTTTCAGGGTATAATTGTAGTGGTATTGTGAAGGAGTTGAAGCAGAACCAAGGGAAAATTTTTTTAAAATGCAGATTTAATAGCTTTTTTTGTATACACCTCTATTGAATTTTTACCTTTTTTTACAATTTTTGTAATAATTTTTGTAAAACGTGTAGGAAATTTTTGAAACTGCTTCAACTCCTGTGTAACTACCTAATAATTATAGCCTGAACGTTTTAGGTTCAAAAAGCAAATCTTTCTTACTTAATCGCAGATTTAAATATTGTCTTTTTAAGCATAAAAGTATGAATAAATGAGGCAAAAATATATGCACATTTTTATCTTTTATTTTAATGGAATTGTTCATTGATTTATATAGGTTAACTAGAAAAACCAGTTAAAATGACTAGTTTTCTTTGAAATTTTTTTTAAGGGTATAAACCACCTTGAAACCATAAAAGATATCAATAATGGAACGAGAACTTTGAGATTTTTTGAAGTTGTGTTGAAAGAGAATTTTTCTTCTTTTATTTAATTTAAATTAGTAATAAATATTCTAAACGGATTTTTAAGCCACCAATAAACTCTTTACACTTTTATTGACCTCTCAAAAGCTTTCGATTTTTTCGCAAGTTTTAGTGCGAAATGCACTAAAGATTGCGCCTGAGTAGGTAGCATTACTGGTGGCATTTCACAGGGATTTTTTCCTTTATTATTATGTCCTTTATTTTTTTTTTAATTATATTTACTTATGTCTACCTAAGGTAGACATAAGACGTGAGACATTAATCAGACGTTGTAAGAACGTTGTACGGACGTCTTGCCAGCTGGAACTAAATATCATTTTGTTTGTTTTTGTAATAACACTTTTTGTACCCAATCTAAACACAATGAATAGAAAAAATAAGTTTCCTAGATGAAATACTCGATGAACAAATGAGTTGAAAAGAATACGTTAATTCAGTAAAAAAAAAAAGTTCAAAAAACATTGGTGTTTTACAAACTTTTAAGAACCAAGAGGTTAGAGGCTTGACGCCGGCTCTAGCCCAATTACATTGGTAAGGAAGTAAGCGTAATCTTTCTTGTTAAATGTTCATCCACGGTGCTCTGTGATAAGACTGTGATAAGTTTGTGATAAGACTGTAAAGACTCCTGGGAGTACCTTAATAACTAGAAGAAATAAATCCTACTTTTCCTTATTTAATTAACTTATACAATACAAGCAAATGACGGTAATAGATGTTAGAACTGTTGACATTCAAGTTACCATATAGATTAAAAGTTTGTTAAAAAATTATTGGTGAGCTCAAACACGACAAATATAAATAACACTGGCCAACAAAAAAAAATTTTTTTTTTGCTGCCGAGGATATTTTTACGAATTTATAGTATATCGGGTGTGCTGATTTCAGAAATGACATTAGTTTTCCACGATTGGCTCTAGTTCTTGAGATACAGGGTGTTCCAGATATATTCTTATACAAATATCTTCGTTCATGCATATTTTACAGTAAAATAGTTTTATTTCTTTTTAAAGGGCATACCTTTATATATATATATATATATATATATATATATATATATATATATATATATATATATATATATATATATATATATATATATATATATATATACTTTTTCCTGTTTTTAGAACACAATGAGTTCTTCACGAAGAGGATGTTTGAATAACCCCAATGCATTCTGCCACATCTGTGGTGAATATTGCCAGGAGAGCCAAAGAAGAAATATTACTAACTTTGTGAAGCAAGCATATCTGGCATACTTTGGAATGAAACTCGGAGACCAAGATAAGTCTTGGGCTCCCCATATTGTATGTAAAACGTGTGTCGAAAATCTACGTCAGTGGAAAAATGGACAAAGAAAAGGTTTAAAATTTGGTGTGCCTATGGTATGGCGGGAGCAAAAGAATCACGACAGTGACTGTTATTTTTGTTTGGTTAATGTGAAAGGTATCAATCGTTTCAAGAAACGTAAATTTGAGTATCCGGATTTGGAATCAGCAAGGCGATCTGTACCACACTCAGACTATGTCCCCATTCCAGTGTTCACTACACTCCCAGATCTAACAGTGTCTGATGAAGAAGATATGCAGAATTTGGTGTGCGAACATGCAGATAGTGGTAGTGAATATGAAGACAGTACTTCTAAACAGCAACAGTTCTCCCAGGAAGAGATCAATGATTTAGTAAGAGACTTGAGTCTATCCAAGCAAGATTCTGAGCTTTTAGCATCTAGACTAAGTGAAAAGAACAGTTTGAAGGCCGAATGTAAAATAACTTTTTTTCGGACAAGAGAGGCAGCATTTCTTCCATATTTCATTCAAGAAGAGAAAATAGTATACTGTAGGAACATCCCTGGACTCCTCCTCCAAATGGGGTTACCTGAATACCGACCAGAAGATTGGCGATTGTTTATAGATAGATCGATTAGAAGTTTGAAGTGTGTTTTATTGCACAATAGCAATAGTTATGCATCCATCCCAATACTTCACTCAACAAAACTGAAAGAGGAATATGAAAATATAAGAATGATGTTGCAGAAGCTTAGATACAATGAGCACCAGTGGTCTATATGTGTTGATTTAAAGATGGTAAACTTCTTACTAGGGCAGCAAAGTGGATATACTAAGTACCCTTGCTTCATATGTTTGTGGGATAGTAGGGCTAAAGAAGACCACTGGAAAAAGGTGGTATGGCCTGCTAGGGAAAATATGACTGTAGGTGCATCAAATATCATTAACGAACCACTGGTAGACAGGGGAAAAATTATTTTCCCACCACTCCACATCAAACTAGGACTGATGAAGCAATTTGTAAGAGCCCTAGACAAAGATGGTCAATGTTTCAATTATATTTGCAGATTTTTTCCAGGCTTGAGTAAGGAGAAAATCAAAGCTGGAATCTTTAGCGGCCCTCAAATTCGTCAAATCATCAAGGATGAGCAGTTCCTATATACAATGACAGATATTGAAGCATCTGCCTGGAAAAGTTTTGTCTTGGTTGTTCATAACTTTTTGGGCAACCATAAATCTCCCAACTATGAAAAAATCGTACAGAAAATGCTTTCAGACTTCAAAACATTGAAAGCTAATATGAGCATAAAAGTTCACTTTCTACATAGTCACTTAGATCGGTTTCCCGATAATCTAGGAAATTATAGTGAGGAACAAGGGGAGAGGTTCCATCAAGATATCAAGGTAATGGAAGAAAGATACCAAGGAAGATTGGATACACACATGATGGCTGACTATTGTTGGAGCCTTCAACGTGATTGTCCACATTCTCCACACAAAAGACAATCATACAGACACCGATTTTTAATGCATTAATTGTGATTTCATTGTACTGATTTGAATGTTTTGATCTATTAGCATTGTATGTACTTCCCCATAAACAATTTGATATATATATCTAGTGTTTTTTTTGTGAATTACGCTACAACCTAACATAAATTGTTGCTGTTAATGTACTTTCGTGACCACCCTGTATCTCAAAAACTAGAGCCAATCTAGGAAAACGGAGGTCATATTCGGAATCAGGGCAACAAGTTACCTATAAAATGACCCCCAAATGTTTTGCCGCAAAATCTTTGTTGGCCAGTGTAATATAAAAACAAATGGTTGAAGATATTATTCAAAAAGAAGTATATTTTTTTCTAATTGTTCTATAAGGAACTAAAAACAACTTTATCAGGATATACAAAAGCAACTGAACATAATCTGAGGGCATGGTAAACCTGAAATGTTTGAGTTTTGAGGCAACATCAACACTTTTGTAGTCCATAAAAGTTTTAAGCTTTATTCTTGAAGAAAAAAATGTAAAAAGGTATATTGTAGCTTGCCAGCAGACACCTCGTCCTTGAAAGAGTATTAGACTGTTTTGACAAAATATTTTTTATTCATTAAGTAACTCTGGTTACTAATATTATTTAAACAATTTTATAAAAACTAGAGAATGTTTTTTGACCATTTTTTAAATTTTATTTTGATCAATTTGATTTATTGGTTGCAGAAAATTGAAAAAATAGCATTTTAGTTTCTTTTTCAGCCTTAAAATCAACTTATTTTTGAGCCTTAAAACCATATGTCTATTATAAATGTCTATTGTAAATTTTCAAAATTTCTATTATAAATCGAAATTGTCAAAAGATTTCAGTTTACAATTAAAACTTTAATGTATAAAAATTACACCATTTAAAAACTCAGAAATTTTGCACTTACAAGTGGTAAAAGAGTTTAAAAAATTCTGACAACCAGGTACACATTTTACACGTTTTCACTGTCTAATATGCAGATAATTATGGCTTTGACATGTTTTGTAAATAATGTATTACGTGTACACATTTCTTAAAATGTATTGTTTTTAGAAACCTCTACATGTTAAAAAACATCGTTGCACAAAAAAGCTTCCAATTGATTTCTAATATAGATAAGTCTATTTTAAAACTTTGATGGTTGAATGGATTTTGTTTTTTTTATAACTTAATATTTAATAAATTTTATTTCTTCACTTTGGGTATCACTAGATAATCACAAAGCTACAACATTATTAGGTAGGAAAATAAAATTAAAAAATAATAATAATAATAAAAAGGCAACTTTTCAAAAAATAGCTTTAAAAATATCATTATAAAGAAGACATGTATTGTTGCAAATTAATTAAGCTTTTATAAAGGAGGATACGATACAACATTCTTTAATTTATGATAACTCCCCATTGGTACTAAACGATCTGTCACCGGAAGAAGAGCTAAATAAGTAGGCGTATCAGCACCTTCATCAGGAGTTATCATGTCAAAGTACCTTCCGCCATTCATGTCTGTATCAACAATACCTGGATGACAGGAATTTACAACAATATTTAACTCTGGGTTTTTGTCAAACTCACGTTGTTGAATTTGTGTTAAAATTGAAACACCAACTTTAGACATTCCATATGCAGACCGAGGCCACCCATTTTCTTCCAATGTATCATTTTTAGCATGTTCCACAAACAATAATAGTAATTTCTTTAAACCTAAAATCATTTAGAAATTTTAGAAAATAACAAAACTTGTTATTTTCTAAAATTGATATTGGCGAGGCTATTATTTCAAGATAAAATATTTTTTAAGTATTAATATATATATATATATATATATATATATATATATATATATATATATATATATATATATATATATATATATATATATATATATATATATATATATATATATATATATATATATATATATATATATATATATATATTAATTTTGTATATTATAATGTAATATATAATAATTTAGAAATATGTATATAAAATTATTTTAGATACATATTTTTAAATTATTATATATTACATTTGTGTCATACTGGTAAAAAAGAGAAAAAAAACAGGGTTAAACTATGTGTCTGGGGCAACCATTCAATTTGAAACATGCCTTTTTTCTAAAAAATTTTCTTTTATGTTTTGTATATCATTAAGATTCACCGCAATTATTTTTTTGTTTCTAAGTCGGTAGATGAATGTTTGAACTTAAAAAAAAAAGCCTTTTGACACTTTGTTTTCTGTCAGCACATGTATTCAATCTATATTTCCCTTAAGTGTCCGGGGCTACCCGGCTCTCCCCTATATAAAAATAAACGAATATTTAATGTTTATCTGAGTTAAAACCATTAGTTTTAGTTCAGATAAACATTAAATATTAGTTAACTTTGACAGGAAAGAAGGTGTGAGCAAGGAAGCTCACAGCTTCTTCCTTGTCAAAGTTGCTTATTTAGCAAACTTTGACATTTTTAGCTCTAGCTACTGCGCTACAGCTGTTATGATCATTTTGACAGTTAACAAAATGGAAAATCATACATACCATCAACACTTAAGTTTTTGTCTCTAAACTGCTCCTTGCGACTATCAGATAACCTTTCATAAGCAAATTCGCCTGCTAAGCTTGACAAATTAACAACTCTAGCATTAGGTTTTAAAATCGGAAATAGAGAATCACAAACTGATATCATACCCAAAAAGTTTGTAGTAATTGTAACCTCTGCTTCCTCTGAAAATGGAGCATTACTTAATTCACTATATGCAATACCAGCATTATTAACTAAAACATCTAAACCACCATATTTTAAAAGTAAATGATCACGTAAACAGTGTATACTACTTTGATCTGTGATATCAAGCTGATGATACTCAGCATGCAGATTTAAAGTAGCTAGTTCTTGAACAGCGTTTAGTCCAAACTCTTTATTTCTTGATGTTAAATACACAATTTTTTCTTCTTTATCCTGCAAAAGAAGTTTTACTATTGATTTACCAATTCCCTTGTTTGATCCAGTTACAACAAAAACGCGTGGTGATGACATTTTTAATTTATTATAACAATATATTATTACTGTTTAAATCATTGTATATATTTTTTACATAAAAGATTTTTTTTTATATATCATGTTAATCAAATTTTAAACGGTTTTATATAAATCAATTTCTCAAAAAATATATTATGACTAAAAGATAAAGTACAAAACTTCCTTGTTGTAAATAATAAGAACATAAGAAAAAAAATTTGATTTTTACTCTCGAACTTTGTATTCCTGAAATTTAAACGCGCTAACTCGATAAGGTTTGAATATTCGTTTAAAACAAAAATAATACAAAAATAAAAGAAGTTTACAAAATATCCATTATCTATAGACAAAATAAACTTTAAATAGATTTATTTATAAATCACAAATAAATACATATTCAGCTTGATAACCACAAAAATTAATATCCAAATATAAATAATCTATTTTATAATAAAGGAAAAGTAATTAAAAATTAGATATTTTCCACTGATTTGAAACGAAACAAAATAATTAAAGTGTGATAACCTATAAACATTATTATTATTTCAGTCTAAACAAGATTATTATAAATTAAAAGACTATGTGTTCATATTTTATGAAAGCGAAAGCGAAACTATAATAATTCTATCGAGCTATATTACTCAAAGAAACATAAACTTGTGAAAACAAAAAAAACTTTTATGAAAAAAAAAGCCGATAAATTTAAACAAATCCAAATGGTTGTTAGTGGCAACTTTTTATTTATTGGTATTTAACTTATGCATTACGCTTTGCTAACAACAAAAGTATTTATCTTAATACATTACTGAAGCCATATTAGTTAATGTTCTAAGATATAATTGTTTTTATAACAATAAGTTAAAAGTTACAATGAAGTAATTATTTGTACGTGAATACTAATAATGTTTACGTCATAAAAATTCCTTTGTACGCAAAAAGATATTATAATGCTTTAATTTTTATACATCGTAAGAGTGAGTTTCCACTCATCCGTTTTTTCACGGAAACGGGAAAGGGACAGTAAAAATAATCACGTGGGCATGCGTAGTATAAGTTTTAATATATTCGAAGTAAAACTACGCATGCTCTTGTGATTATTTTTCTTTTCCTATCCCGTTCCCGTGAAAAAACGGATGAGTGGAAACTCACCTTTATAGTCGTGTACTTAAGTGGATGGGTAAAATATAATTTTTTGAGACGCGGTTGACAGGGGGTTGAAGATTCAAATTTGGGATTTTTCTTTAATGTCAAAGTAATTTTATTTAGTTTTATTTTATATATTTCTCAAAGCTTCATTAAATAAGTGCAATATCTGTACATAAATCGACTGATTTACATGGAGTCGCGTCATTTTTATGATGACTTACATGTTGATTATTTTTATGAGGACTTACGTGTTGTTTAATTGATAAAAAAAATCGCGGCTAGATTTTTAACCATTAAACTCAAAATGTCAAAAATTTTACCTCAAACCAATTCAAGGAATAAAAGAACAAAAAAAAATTTGTTAAAAGGCTTTAAAAATTTACTGGTTTTAATTCATGCATACTTTTAGTTGTATATTTTTAAATCTACCTTTTATTACAATACTAATACTGTTTTATTTTAGGTTTTCTACTGTTAAAATACGGTTTTAATTTTGTTAATTTTTATGATTTAAAATTTGCTTTATTAGTCATTATAAGTGCCTCAAGAACCTTAAACATATAACGGATCCCCAATATTATCAATATTTCAAACATAATTCATGCCTGGTCTCAAATAAAATAAAGTTATACAAAATTTTGAAATATATTGTCATTTATGAAATATATTAGTCATATTTTACGTCATTGGTCCCGAGTATTTCAAAAAACTATACTAAATACTAAAAACAGTTTTTTGAATGGAGCTAAAAGTTAAAACTGTTTTTGCAAAAACGACTTTTGTAGAAAAATTACCATTAACATAATTTATCTGAATTAAACGTGACGTTATTGTTAAACATTCTCATTTAGGTGTGGTATTGAAAATAATAACTTCAATTTTCATAAAAAAATGTTTTTTTATGGATAACTTTCCCAAATAATGTTTGGTTATAAATATCAAGTTACATTCATTGAAAACAAACACCAATACGTGCTTTTATGAAAAATCAAATCCATAGAGTTATCTATAACCAAGCCCCAAGGTACTTTATGATGAAAATTACATCTTTCCTAAATAAAACTACATTTGACGATTTTTTATAGTCATAAGATAGTAAGTAACCATAGTCGTAAGATAGTAAGAAATCATAGTTATAAGATAGTAAGTAATGATAGTCATATTCATAACCATAGTCATAATACTAATCATATTCTTTCAAGACTATGACATAACTGTGTCTCGGTTTTACGGACTTTAAGACGCCACCTAGCTTTACGGTACAGAAACTCGCATCAATTATCTGAATGCAACCAAGGCATGGTACACGTTTTTCTAAACAAAAATATTAGTTTTTTCAATTACAATATATGTAAGGTTTTTCGTCAAAAATTTTGACATTTATGGTATGTATGGAAATATTATTTTAACCACTATTATAATCTGGTAACAGTAATGCGACTATGGTTACTTTTTAGTTTTATGACTATGGTCATGCCAATTATATATCATATTCATACGAATGAAATCTTTTTACGACTATGATTATATAAACTAGACGTCTAACTTGCGGGATTTTATTAGACAAAAATGAAGCCGTCTTTTTTTGTTTTTAACAATAGTTCATCATTTTTAAAAAGGGCAAAAAGTAGCTTCACTTTTCGGATCGAAGTTAGACATCTAGTTTATATAAAATATTATTGAGTTATGCACAATGGTTTTTGTGACCCAATATTTAGGCAAAAAGTCAATTTTTTCCACAAAAAATATATATATACTTTTTTGTGGCTTTCTTTCTTGAAGTAAACACTTCAAAGTCAAAAACCACTCTTCAAAATTTGAAGTCTAGTGAGGGAGAAGCTAAAAAGTATAGTGTTTTGTCTTGTTTTATTTCTTTTTCATTCTGATTTACTCATAAAACCAGAAAAGCTGCAATCATTTTTAATTTAGGAGTTACTTCACAGTAAAAAATATAAAGCTAACATAATTATAACTAATAGTAAATAATAGTTACTAAAAATAGTTACTAGAAAAGAGTTAGAGAGCAAGGAAAATTGAAAATTAAATAAGAGTATATCAGAAAAGTGTTAAACTAGGAAGTTTAAACCTACTTCCTAACCAATGGAGCAAAATGTTGCCAAAGCTTGCTTCGAACCCTAGTTCTTTTGCTTCTAAAGCAAGTCCTCTAACCATTGCGCAGCGGTTGTTGTATAATCATTTTTTATTAACTAAAGTTATCATTTTGTAGCTTGTAATTAACCATAATCTTTGCAATACTTAATGTTTTTGAACGAACATGAACAAAAAAACATTTACAACGTTTTTTGAAAAATTTTGATTGTTAATTTTATAAAGGAAAAAGAGTGTTAAGAATATTAGGTCAAATATTCATTAGTTTTTTAGGATTCTTTAAAAGCGATAAATAAGATTTATAAGATAAATAAGATAAGTAAGCGATGAACTTTGTGCCTAAAAATGACTTTGCGAATATTAACTCTATGCATTGTTAAAAATTCCCGTACTTTTACGGAATTATTTTCCGTTATTTGTACGGAAACTACCCATTTAACAAAGTTGTGCAGAAATTTTCCTTCTTTTAAAATAAATTTTGAAACACGGAAATTTCCGTTGGATAAAGGTTTTATTATTGAAGCTAAAGTAAAATTAATAATAAATTATAAATTTTAACATACAAACTTGTCACATTAAAAAGCAATTTTAAATTTTTTAACTAGCGCTTTTTTTAAATGTAACCAATTCTAGTTTATGTGTGTGTGTATATATATATATATATATATATATATATATATATATATATATATATATATATATATATATATATATATATATATATATATATATATATATATATATATATATATATATATATATATATATATATATATATATATATATATATATATATATATATATATATATATATATATATATATATATATATATATATATATATATATATATATATATATATCACGGCTGTTTTAGGCAATGTAAAATTGGGCATTACGTCACGAGTTTAGCAAAAACAATTTCCGCATAAAGAGTTTTTTAAAAATTTCGTATAAAAATTCAATAACTTTAAAGTAGTGGGTTTTTTTTTCTTTTGTGTTCTAATAAAAAAAAAATGAAACATCTATCTTTCCTTGTTAAATAAGTATTCTGATTAAACTGAATAAAAATAAAAGTTGTAAAAATTTTGCTAATGGTTTGGGATCACTTTTCTGTTTTTTGCGTATTTTAATGAAAACCTGTCTTGGGCCAATCAAGATTAGATATTTTAAGCTACATGCTTGATGATTGAAATTTTACATACTTATAAACGAATGTCTATTTTATATGATTGTTGGAGGGCATAGATATAAAAAATAGTTTAAGTTAGTTTTTTTAGCATTATTCTTTTTACTTTTACTTGTTTTATATGAAAAACGTTCAGTTTTTGTTATGCCCTCCAAATTATTGAAATTGCAACCATTTATGCACATGAAAATCAAAAAAATTACTTTCTGTACTTCTAACTAAAACGTTTTCAACCTTGGCAAATTTTTATTCTTTTAGCAACAAAATTTGTAGTTACATGCGTAAAATTTTTGTTTATATTTTAAAGCAATGACGTAACTTTAAATGCGTTACTTCCCAAATTCACTATTTAATAAAATTTATTAAAACAGCTTTTTTAGCGAGACAAATTTTAGTATAAATAAAACAAACTTTGGCGGGTTTTTTTCTCTCGTGGCTAATCAACAAACATTAGTTAAGTTGTTAATCCTTTGATATCTATTGCATACTTGTTATTTGTCAATAATTATTATTTGATTTTATTTGTTTGTATTATATTTTTATAGAAAAGTTTATTTATCACTATGCATTCTAGTGAAAGGGAGATATTAATACTTTATATTGGATGGGAAAATGGCTGGGAAAATGAATGTAACTTTTCTTTTATTAAGCGATTAATGAACGCTGATAAAATCACTAATAACGTGATTTTAATTTTACTCAAAGTCTTTCCATCTAAAACATTGTTTAAATTTATAG